TCTAACCAGAGCTCATCTAGTTTTTGTTGTTGTTGTAGCTTCCTGGCCAATTCTGATAAGACTCAAATACCGAAAACAAGAAATAAATTAGGAGGAAATTGTCATCTCAATTTATGAGGCTAGTCATAAAACAAAACTTGGAAATGGTATTTCAGCAATTCAGAGAATAATATTACCCACAATAAAAGGAGGGGGTGATGACAAGGTGTGTTATAGCTACGAAAGAACCTAAGCAAGGGCCCCAGTTTCCTACTCAAACCACCTTTTTAAAAAAGCAACATTTCTAATGAGCTGACACTGTAGCAAACACAGACATCTTTCCTATAGCAGCCTGACAGCACACTGAGACAACATGCTTGGATTTAACTACCCTATAAAATCCAACTTTAATTTCCAGGCTCTACACCAGCAATGTTCACTTCTCATATTCTTCTTCTGATGCCTGCACCCATCACAAAATGAATGGCTCGTAGGCAAATGTATGGTCTTCCTCTTTCTGTAACACAAACATTCACACCATAAGATGCCAGCAAGGGAATAATGCTGTATGTTTCACCTCGCCTACTTGCCTCAGAAAGAGAAGGAGAAAAAAGGGACTAAGTAATTTTTATGTTAGCATGGATTTTTGTGGACATTCACCTGCTTCAACTGAAACTGTTGTGTGACTTAAGTCATTTCTGACTTATGGAGACTCTAAGCTAAAACTTTTTATAACATTTTCTTTTTTTATAATAATCTTTATTGAATATTTGGTTTATAATTAAAATAAGAGAAGAAAGGGGGAAAAAGAAAAGGTAAAGGGAGGGACAGAGATAAAGGGAAAACAAAAGAGAGAAAAAGATTAAAAAAAGAAAAAAGAAAAAAACATGAGTATATAAAAATTGTTTTGAATTCCTGGTATTTTCTAGAGGTCAAATTTCTTTTCCTTCTTTCCTCTTCCTCCCTTCTGACCTCTGATTCCTGTCTTCTTCCTTAGCTTCTTACTTTTTGTGTTTGTCTGATTCTTCTTTGCTAAATCAAAATCTTTTTATTTCTTTGTTTGAAGTATTCAATAAACATTTTCTGAGACCTCTGTTTATAATCTTCTGAAGAAGGAGACTCCACTATGCTCTGAGTCAGCTTATTCCACCACTGAACAGATTTTACTATAAGGAAGTTTTTCCTAATGTTTGCGTGGAATCACTTTTCCTGCAGTTTAAATCCAGTGCTCTGTGTTCTCTTCTTAAGAAGTGTAATGGTATTAATGACCGCGCATATTCAAATAAAAATTAATGGTGCTGCCAGATTTCCCTCCCACCCTTCCCCTTTCTGTGTTCTATGATGCAACAGACTAACGGGCTTACAAAAGCTAGCCATGATGAAGTAATCAAGCCCACCCTCTCTCCTTGGGTGCAGCTACACTGTAGAGTCAATGCAGTTTGACACCACTTTAAACTGCCCTGGCCCAATGCTATGGAATCCTGGGAGAGCTGTAATTTGGAGAGGTACCAGCACAGCACACTTTGGTAGAGAATGCTAAAGGAGGCACTCATGGGTCCTATATTTAAAAAGCCATCCCTGAACCCCTCCATAATGGACAGCTATCAGCCAGTGTCCAACCTCCTCTTTCTGAGTAAGGTCTTTGGAGTGTGTAGTGGTCTCCCAACTCCAGGGATTTCTGGATAAAATGGATTATCTAGATCCATTTCAATCTGGTTTCAGGCCTGGCTGTGGGACAGAGACAGCTTTGGTTGCCTTGGCAGATGACCTACGCAGAGAACTAGACAGAGGGAGCATGTCCCTGTTGGTTCTCCTGGATCTCTCAGCGGCTTTTGATACCATTGACCATGATATCCTTCTGGGTCATCTTGCTGGGATGGGAATGGGAGGCACTGTCTTACAATGGCTTCAGTCCTTCCTGGAGGGCCATACCCAGAAGGTGGTGCTTGGGGCCTCCAATTTGAACCCCTGGCCGTTGTCCTGTGGGGTTCCATTTTGTCCCCAATGCTGTTTAATATAAACATGAAACTGCTGGGAGAGGAGGTGGCACCATACTCCAAAGTTTTGGAGTATGGTGCCACCTGCATGCAATGACACCCAGCTCTACTACCCCTTTCCAGCTAATGCCAAGGAAGCTGTCATGACCCTAAACCAGTGCCTGTCATCAGTAATGGACTTGATGAGGACAAACAAATTGAAACTTAATCCAGACAAGACAGAGGTACTCCTAGTCAGTCGGAAGGTAGACCAGGGAATGGGGATCCAGCTTGTGCTGGATGGGGTCACACTCCCCCTGAAGACACAGGTGCACAGTTTGGAGGTTCTCCTGGACTTGGCACTGAACCTGGAGGTCCTCCTGGACTTGGCACTGAACCTGGAGGTCCAGGTATCACCGGCGCCTGGGAGGGCCTTTGCACAATTAAAACTTGTGCGCCAACTGCACCTATTCCTTGAGAGGCCAGATCTGCCCATGGTGGCCCATGCCTTAGTAACATCGTGTTTGGATTACTGTAACGTGCTCCATGTGGGGCTGCCTCTGAAGAGTCTCTGGAAATTCCAGCTGGTCCAAAGAGCTGCATCCAGGTTGCTCACTGGGGCTGGCTGAAGGAGCAGACAACCCCCTTGTTGAAGTAGCTTCACTGGCTGCCAGACTGTTTCCAGGCACAATTCAAAGTGCTGGTTATAAAATTTAAAGCACTATACTGTTCAGGTCCAGGCTATTTGGCAGACCACAACCTCTTGTATGAACCTGCCCGGATCCTGGGAACTTCAGGAGCGGTCCTTCTCTCAGTCCCACCTCTATCTCAAGCTTGGTTGGTGTGAACGAGAGAGAAGCCTTCCTTCTCAGTGGCTGCCTCTCGACTCCAGAACTCCTTTTTTTCCCAGGGAAGCCCCCTCACTGCTGTCCTTCTGACAGCAGGGTATAATCTTTTTGTTCAGACAGGCTTTAAAGATGAAAGTTTTTAAGAGCATCAGGAGCTGATGATTTTATATGCTTTTAATGATAATTAATAGTTTTAATATTTATAAATTTGTATACAATTAAAAAGCCTTTTATGTGCTTGCATGGATTGAAACACTGAAATGGCTGTTACTCTGGTATGTAAATCTTTTAAAATATTATTTTTTAATTTTTTTAAAATCTCAGTTTTTCAAGTCCGGTTAATAGTTTAATCAAAATGTAATTTTTAGTTGTGTACTGTTTAAATTTGCTACAGTGCTTTATTATCATTTGATGGCAATGTTTACTGAGTTATTATTTAATTTATGGTAGTTTTATTTATTTGTTCATTGCAATTTACAGCATTTGACACCATATGCTGTTAACCACCCTGAGTCCCCATTGGGGTGATAGGGCGGGATACAAATAAAGATTATGATTATTATATTTTAAGTTATATTGCAATGCTTTTAGTTGTGAGGTGCTTTGAGACCCCTTCTACATAGCTGAATAAAATCCCACATTATCTGCTTTGAACTAGAACATATGGCAGTGTGGATTCAGATAACTAAGAGCCCTTCCACACAGCCCTATATCCCAGAATATCAAGGCAGAAAATCCCTCAATATCTGCTTTGAACTGGGTTATCCGAGTCCACACTCAGATAATGTGGGATTTTCTGCCTTGATATTCTGGAATAGGGCTATGTGGAAGGGGCCATAGTTCAAAGCAGATATTGTGGATTATTTGCCTTGATATTCTGGGTTATATGACTGTGTGGAAGGGCCTTAAGTGTGTATCTGTGTATCTGCACCTGATTATTTTCAAGGGGGTGTAGTACTTGATGCAAGAGGTAACAATTCCTTGATGGAGCTGCTTCCCACAGCTCTTCAAGTGATTAAGAAGAAATAAGTCTTTCCATCAAAAGCAACTCATCTCTCTCCAGGGGCTCCTCCTCACAGCCCTATATCCCTCCACACAGCTCTATATATGTGCTTTGAACTGGGTTTTCTGAGTCCACACTCAGATAATGTGGGATTTTCTGCCTTGATATTCTGGGATATAGGGCTGTGCGGAAGGGCCCCCAGTTCAAAGCAGATATTGTGGATCATCTGCCTTGATATTCTGGGTTATTTGGTTGTGTGGAAGGGTCCTGTGGGCCCTCCCAGACAAGCTCTATATCCAAGGATCTGGTCCCAGGATTATATGAGTCCACATTGCCAGATAATCTGGGATAAACAGAAAACCGGGATCAGATCCTGGGATATAGGGCCTGTCTAGAAGGGTTCTGTATGGAAGGGCTCTGAGGGCTCCCAGAATATCAAGGCAAAAATATCCCACATTATCCGAATGTGGACTCAGATAACCCAGTTCAAAGCAGATATTGTGGGATTTTCTGCCTTGATATTCTGGGATATAGAGCTGTGTGGAAGGGCCCCCAGTCTCCGTATGGAAAGAAAAAGTGGGATATAAATAATGATGATGATGATAATGACCTCATAAAACTACAACTCTCAGGATTTCATCACATGGAGGCATGGCAGGTATAGTGGTGTCAAAATTCATGAGCTTTAGGATGTTGATGCAGCCTAGTCAGGAAAGATCCAGAGCTCGAGGGCCCTTCCACACAGTCCTATATCCCAGAATATCAAGGCAAAAAAATCCCACATTATCTCAGATAACCCAGCTCAAAGCAGGTATTGTGGGATTTTCTGCCTTGATATTCTGGGATACAGGGCTGTGTGGAAGGCCCCAGGGACTCCCAAGATTCAACAGCAGTCTCCAGTGCAGATGCAGGGTCTCCTGGATAGCATTCCTACATACTCCACGCTGGGGCACAATGAGGGCAATGGGACACCATGGAGGGGCGCCCTTCCTCTTCCCGCTATTGATTGCCYACACCTTTGGAGGCCGAAAGGAGGCCAAGGTTGCCCCAGAATGGGCGAGGCCCTCCTCCCRCTGCCTGATGTTTCTCCTGCCTTGGCCAAGCCAACCCCAAYCTTTCTGGACAGGCCTCTCCCTCCCTCCCTTCCTTCCTCCCTTCCCTCCTCCCTTCCCTCACCCTCTGGAAAACACTTACCACATAGACGACGTTGAGGGCACACAGCGCATTGCGGGAGCAGGCGAAGCCCCCGCAAACCATTTTCGCCCAGGAAGAGAGGCCACAGCCCCTCCGAAATAGGGAACAAATAAATACTTAAATAAAGTCCCCTCTTGAAGAGGAGGAGGCGGCGGACGGGGGGGGGGCTTCCCCTTTAAATCTCAGCCCGCCGCCACCGCGCCTGCGCAACCCGGCTCCCCTCCTCGGCCGGCTCGCCTACATTGGCCACCCTCGTGCGCATGCGCGGTAGCACCCCTCCTCGGGGAAGCGCTGCTTTCTCATCCGGGTACTTGGCAGAGAGGGCTGTGACCCAAGAGCTCTGTCGAAACATCTGTGAGCTGTAAATAATTCTCACTTCCGCTTCCGTGAAATATCCTCCGGGCGCAAGCGCTTGATTTGATAAGAGAGCTTCTTTTAGCGCCTTTGACACACAGGGCCCTTCCGCACAGCCCTATAGCCCAGAATAACAAGGCAGAAAATCCCATAAGATCTGAATATGGATTCAGATAACTCAGTTCAAAGTAGATATTGTAGGATTTTCTACCTTGATATTCTGGGATATAGGGCTGTGTGGAAGGGCCCTAAGGGTGTGTCCACTCTACATTAACTGCTTGGGATCTTTAGTTTGTTGGGGTATTTTCTCTATTGCCACCACAAACTACAAACCCCAGGATTCCATGAAATTGAACCATGGCAGTTTAAGTGATGTCAAACTGCTATAATTCTGTGGTGTGGATGGCCTCCAAGCAAGAGAAAGCAGGGGCCCCAATCGGACTCCTTGACCAGTGGTTCGCAACCTGTGAGTCCCCAGATGTTTTGGCCTTCAACTCCCAGAAATACTAACAGCTGGTAAACTGGGTGGGTTTTCTGGGAGTTGTAGGCCAAAACACCTGGGGATCCACAGGGTGAGAATCACTGTCCTAGACCAACATCTGACACATTCTGCCATACTGGCACTCCGGTGGCGCAGTGGGTTAAAGCCCTGTGCTGGCAGGACTGAAGACCGACAGGTCGCAGGTTCGAATCCGGGGAGAGGCGGATGAGCTCCTTCCATCAGCTCCAGCTCCTCATGTGGGGACATGAGAGAAGCCTCCCACAAGGATGATAAAAACATCAAATCATCCAGGCGTCCCTTGGGCAACGTCCTTGCAGACGGCCAATTCTCTCACAACAGGAGTCACTCCTGACACCACAAAAACTCAGTAGTTATACACGGGAAGTTGCTGCCAACTGAGAAAATAAACATTGGCTATCAGCCTCCCCCCAGCCAAATCAAATCAAGGAAAAGCTTCATGAGAACCACTGTGATCGAAGGTGAGCCCCCCCCCCCCCAACTCTGTAAAAGATAGTTCAAAATCAGGGAAATCATAGTTTTGCCAAGGACATCAGGCTGGAATGATCCCATAATTCCCTATCTCTCCCCCATGTGGGAACCTAAGGCTTCTTCCACGGCCCCCACTGTAACCCAAACTAGTATCTGACCAATTTGGCTATTATTTATTAATTGGATTCCCTTTTTTATGAATGAAACTTTTTTTATGAATGGACCCCGGCTACTCAGTGCTCCTAGGGCCTTCTATACATCCCCATGAACTTTTAATGGACTTTCCATGAACTTTCTTCAACTTTTATGAACTTTTTAAGGACTTTCACCAACTTTTCCAAACTTCTATGAACTTCAATGGGAAGGGCAGGTATAGGGCCCCAGACCCTGCATGATTTCCCCTCACCTTATGAACTCCATGTATGTTCCCATACTCCATCTCCCCATTCCCTATAACTGGATGGCCCCCCACAAGAGTCTTCCTCCAGGCAAACCAACAATGGGCAACTTGGAGGTCCCTGAACAGACTCAGAAGTGGAGTGGGCTGATCAAAAGACAACCTGGCTAAATGGCACTACCTAGAAAAATGCTTGTCCACAATGCCCTGCGTCATGCACAGAGGAAAAACTGTTTCAAAGCAACAGACAATGCGGTCGCTGTTGCCCATTTTTGGTCCCACTTGTGTTCCCGCTATTTTATCAGTTTCACACTTGTTTATTTATGCAATGCTTTTGACATGAAATAAGTAATTGTACAATTGTGATTAAATGCCTGCAGCTATTATAATATTATATTCCATCAGTATATCTAAGGAAGTAGACGTACTATCCTTGAAAACTCATCTGTTAGTCTTAAAAGTGCCATTAAATCCCCCGCCACCCCCCATTTTTTTACACAATAGAAAATCCTATACACAACACTGAAGATACATACACAAACACAAGTTCATGAATGGAAAACTCTAACTTCCTATTTTCGCATATTCTCATCAGGGAACAAATTAATCTAGTTCAGTGATGGGATACTGCTGGACTGCAGCTTCCTGCATTTCTCACCACTGGCAAATCTGGCTAGGGCCTACAGGGAATTGCAGCTTAATGCTTAATAATAATAATAATACTTGCAAAGACTCTGGCACAAGCCAGTCAAGGTTGTCCCAGTGGTGATTGGCACAATCAGTGCTGACAAAATTACCATCTGTCAGCTGCAAAAGGCCACCCTACTCGGATCTGCATGCATGATTTGCCGATACATCACATAGTCCTAGACACTTGGGAAGTGTCCAACGTGTGATCCTATACAACAACCAGCATAGTGATCTTGTTTGCTGTATACTAATCTTGTTGTGTTTCAAATGATAATACTTTATTTGTATACCGCTCTGTCTCCCCGAGGGGACTCAGGGCGGTTTCCAACATAGTTAAAAAACCTTGCATTTGCATACAGACATAGGAAATATTCATTAATATTAAGTCACATAGCATCTTAGACCAGTAGTTCCCAAATTCTGATTGGCAAATTGGGTGTAGTGCCTAAAGACCTAGGGCATCAGTTCCCAGAACCCCCATCAGCTCAGCCAACACTCAAGAATTCTGAGAACAGATATACAGAACATCTGGAGGACCAAAGTTTGGGAACCATCATCGTAGCCATGTTGAATCTAGAATATCAGAATGCAAAGGGATCTAGTAGCACCTTAAATATACTGGTGGAATACAATATTATAATAGCTGCAGGCGTTTGAGCACGATTGTATAACTACTGAGAGCCATTATGGCACAATGGTTCAGGTGTTGGACTAGGAATCTGATTGGGGTCCCCACTGAGCCATAAAACCCACTGGATAACCTTGGAGAAGTCACACTCTCTTGGCCTCGGAGGAAGGCAATGGCAAACCCCTTCAGATGAAAACTTGCCAGAAAACTCTGTGACAGGGTTACCTTTGAGTTGTCTTATATTGGAAAGAAGTTGGAGGTGCACATTGTATAAACAAATACAGCCACTGTACTAGAGTGGAGTAAAAATATAAGCATATACAGAAAGATGCAAATTGTGACCTGAGTTATAAAGTCTCAGACTATTATGAAAGATAGCCTCTGAAAACTGCCCGGAAGCCCCAGCTAGTCCAATGCTCGGCAGCCAAGTTGCTTACAGGAGCAACAATTCCCTCGTTACACCAGCTCCACTATATTTCCACTATATATATAAATATCTTGGAGTCACCTTAGATCAAACACTAGCATATAGGAAACACTGCTTGAACACCAAGCACAAAGTAGCTGCACGCAATAACATCCTGCGGAAACTTACTGGCAGCACATGGGGTGCAGACCCAAAATTAGTAAGAAGATCAGCCCTGGCATTGTCTTACTCAACTGTCGAGTATGCCTGCCCTGTTTGGCATAGGTCTGCCCATGCAAAGCAGGTGAACATAGCATTGAATGAAACATGCAGAATAATCACAGGATGTCTTAAACCTACACCTGTTGATGAACTCTACAAGCTAGCTGGCATTGACTCCCTGATGTGCGATGGAAGTTGCTGCTAAATGTGAGAGAAATAAGGTTGAACACTGTGAAAGCCACCCACTATATGGCTACCAGTCTCCTCCCAGTAGACTCAAATCAAGGAAAAGCTTTATGAGAACTACCACTCTTCTTGGTGTGTCCCCAGCAACAGCAAGGGTATCCCTCCCCCCAGCAACAGCAAGGTGCCCTTAAATCCCGATTCTGGCCAGAAAATGTGCATCTTTGCATCACTGTATATCCCTGCAGTCATGCAAAACATGCTTTCCTTCCTTCTGTGAAGACTGCTCCAGCGCATGCGCACTTTTTAAAAGCCTGAAACACCTGATCAGGCTGTCAAACGGACAGACAGGGGGCTCAAGGGAAGCACTAGTGGAAAGAAATTAGAACTCTTCAGGCCCGTAGCCAGGATTTTGTTTCGGGGGGGGGGGGTTTGGGGGGGGCTGAGTTTCGGGGGGGGGGGCTGAGTTTCGGGGGGGGCTGAGTCTGAGTGAAAGAGGGTCTAGCCTAGCAAACCTTTTGTATCATTACCCCAATACCCCCATGCATATGGGATATATTGAGTATGGTGATCAGATCATGATATGAATAAACATAACAGTTTAAATAATGCACCCCCCGGCTACATGCCTGGAACTCTTCAAAACTTTTTTATTTTAAACTTTATAATATTAAACAGAACTTGAATTAACAATTGGGAAAGAGACATCTGGCAGAAGATTTTAAAAAACTTCCACCCTCTATCTTGTTCCAATACAGAGGAAGCCTGTGAGATCCCAGGATATTTTACCCCCATTTTAAACCCTGATTTTGGCGCTGCCTGGAAGCGCCTCCATTCTCCCCTGAAAAGATGTCCAATTTGAATATGAAGAGCTTTACTTCCAAGAACTGGAACCTTTTGTATGTTTTGTGTGCTCTCTCATTTGCGTGTTTTTAAATTAGAATTACTTATGTAATCATTTTTAAAACTACTTAACTATCAGATATTCAGTGGCACCTCATTTTAATCTGGGGTATAAGCCTCCTTGTTTTGTATGCTTGAAGACAAGCAGAATACAAATATACAGGGCCAAGTAGTTCTCAGTGATGGGAAATCATATATCACAGATACTGAGATACTATAATGTTCGCACATTCACAGAGTCCTCTTTCCACCCACACACCACTTAACATAACGACAGGCATTTTTCCAAGTTATTTATTATTCCCATGCTGTGCCATACTGAAAATGTCCTCCCACCACCTACACTCTCCAAGCAACTGCTGCAGTAGAGGGACTTCTTAGAGAGGAAACTGAACTTTGCTCCCCTCTCTCATCTTCCAGTTTAGCAGTTTGTTT